ATAATCTCCCCTTGCACTTCCAGACACAACTTGCCGTCAGGTTGACAGGCGCAAGTTGCGTGGGCAAAATACAAGTTTGTAATAGATGATCATCTGATTATCATGTTGGCCATAAAAATCAAAAGTTCGTACAACATTAAAACGCGATAGACTTAAACGGTTTCCGTTTCCCTATCCCTAGTGCTAACGTGTTTTCATCCTTGACACTGCCATGTCCGATATTATCAGAGAACCACGACTAGAAGCAACCAAATTCTTCAAGTATCAGATAGACAAGAATGCACGTTGCATTCACGAATTTTTTAAGAGAGTCTCTGCCTCACAGTGGTCACTAAGTGCCTTTGTCAAGTATATTGCTAAGTTGGAGACTGGGCTGGATTTTGAACAACTCTTCAAAGTGTTTGTTGAAAGTTTGGATCAAATTTGTGTGTTACTCGTTGTTCCAGTTTGTGTTCGAGCATTTGCTCAAAGCTATTTGAAATGGCTGGAGGTACGTGATTATTATTTCCTAGACTTTTATGACATGTATACTGATATTCGTCGTTTCAGACGTGCACGGGCAAGGCAATGGTAAACGAATGCAGAGAATATTTTTTCGCTAAAGTGACGTTGCAGGAAAAAACCGAACTAAAAGACATATTCAAAGTATGTTGATGGGTACAATACGTTACATAATACGTAACAATGCTTATGTTGTAATTTTTTATAGGATACGGTGAATGTTACTGCGCAAGCGGAGGCATACCGCGCATATATCACTGCACCGGCTGTGCCAACAAAGTCAAGCGGGACAGATGTTCAAGAAAGGGTTAGTTGATTTCCTTCGTGAATTCAATGATTCGTATTGACATTGCATGTTACTATTGCTCTGTTTTTGAGATCAATATTGAAATAACTCTTGTGTGTCTTTATAGCACAATGATAAGGTAGACGAAGAATTAATAGAAGCTTCTAAAGAGAAAAAGCGAAAAGACGAGGATGACGTGACAGTCGTGACATCGACGCCACCCACAAAAAGGGTAACGACACAACTTTAGTCACACTAGTTCACGTGCGGAGTATCACACTCAGCAAACAGATTTACATTGGTTGAAAATAACTGATATATCAAATTTTAATTCAGTCTAGATCACGTTATGAATCATCGTACTCGCCATCCCCATCTGAAGTGGAAGAATTACCTTCACTGGCAACTGATTCAGTTTTTAATGATGACAACTATGAAAGGGATGTTCCTCAATTATCTGATGACTATAGTGAAGAAAACGAAAAGCCAATAATAGAAGATTTATCTGATGACTATAGTGAAGAAAACGAAAAGCCAATAATAGAAG